AAAAGATTTATTTTTTCGAAAATTTATTTTTTCATTATATAGCCCTTTTAAAACCGTATAACTTTTGCCTGAAACATTTTTCTCTAAAATGTTCTATTTCCGAAATAAAGGGGCTGTACGGGTGGTCTGAATCACCCTGTATATGCTCCCACAAGTTTGCGGCGATATAGTTTAATAATAAACCGTGTTGTGCGTCCCATTGTCAAGTAATATTATACATACTCCTCCTCTATCTTCTGCTGCGTATCTGCGTATACGTAACCAACACATTTTCCAATTACATGTGTCGTCGTTTAAACGTACATACATTTGTCCAGAAGGAAGGCAAAAAAAGGAATTGCTCAAAAAGAGTTGATCCTCTTTGAAAGGAAAAGTTGGAAATTAACAATAGTAAATGGGCATCAATTACCTTTTGTTTTCAACTTATATAATGATAAATAATTTCGAAGTTACGAAAGTTATAAGGATGTTACGCCTCTGAATCGGTCTGCGTAATGTTCTCAAGTGCAGAATGCGTCGCTTTAATTGTAACATTGTCGCACATTAAAACGTACAATATGATATGATACGGTCGTTTATTGCAGATCGATACACACGCGCGATCGATACACACGCATGTTGCATTTGATTTTAACGAAATGAACGAGACAAGGCTTTTGTAACTTTCAGGAAATAACAATTGATTTCATTATTGAGCTATTTATCCATTTACTTCAACTTTTCAACATTACGATTTAAATGCACCGTCCTAGAAAAGTAACTGCGACGAAAGATTTCACATTAATACGTGTAAAAGAGATGCAACACATTCTGAGTGTTTCTTGACAGAAATACGCGCGCCCGCGCGTATATGTGTATGTATGTATTTTGGCGACATTTGTGTAAACGCCAGTCTTGTTTTTGCTACATAATTAAAAATTGCCGCAAGTGTTTCGATCCAAATATAGAAAATATCGAAAAAAAAACTGAAGGAAATTGAATGAGAATAACGAGCGGTTCCATGCACTCTACGTAACGGTGAGATAGCCTTTATTTAACGTCAGAAGACAGAAGAAAAAGTAATGATCGCAAAACTAGCGCTAAAGATGGGGGAAAGAAGCAACGCAATGAATTTCAAAGGACACATCTTTTTATTCACGCTCGATATCGTTTACAATGGTTTGGTAGATTTGGGATAGTCGATAATGATTCGGGACCAGTCATGATAGAGCGCGGTGTCTAAAGATTGTAACCCAAGAGCAGAGGATTGTTGAATTTCCGAACGCAGTCGGGATCCCTGAAGTCTCTGGGCCGGAGATTCCAGAATCGTCCACCGTGGTGGAGCAAGGAGGCCCGCAGTTTCGGCCTGAGGAAGCTGAAGGTGATCGGACTGGTGGCGTCTAGCACGCGGCCGAACAGGGTCGATCTGTTCCTCAGGCTGACCGCGATGACATCGCCCGGCAGCAGGTAGTCGTGACCGAGTGCGTTGACTATGTGTTCCCTTGGCAGGGCAAAGCTGTAACTACCCGTGGAAACGGAGCTGGCTGCACTACTGGCCGCGGCGGACGACGAAGAGGCCGATGCCGCTGCCGATGCGGCGGCTGACGAGGCACCGGGGATGACTCGCGCACGGATCAATGGATTTATCCTGCGATCAAGGTCCAGATCGAGTCCACGATATCGAGACGGGTACCTGGCCAGGGTGTCGCCGCCCGTAGAAGCGGACGCGCTCGCGGCCGCAGCTGCGGTCGCGGCCGCGGGTGCGACGCCGGACAGGATCGGCCTGGGTCTGCGTTCGCGCAGGATGAATGGCACTTGTCCAACGGCCGGAGCGACGGATGAGGAAGCGGCCGCGGCCGCGGACGCAGCCGCGGAGACGCCTGTCACTCCCGTGTCCCCCAGCACAACGGGCGCCGCGATTTCCGGTGCGGCTATAGTCTGGTAGTCTGAAACTACCGGCGATGCCACCGCCGCCGCCGCCGTCGCCGTCGCAGTTGCCACGTTTGATGAGGTCGATTCATAAGGAACAATCGAAGGGACTATCGTCGGTAGTATCGTCGGTCCAACGGATAACACCGGATGCGTCTCGGCGACGGTAGCGGTGGCAGTGGCGGTGGCCGCGGAGCTCGCAACTTCGGTCTCCGCAGGAACTATCGTTGGCTCTATCACTGGGCTTACAATCGGGCTTAGAAACTGGTTTACAATCGGGCTTATCACCGAGCCACCGAGACCAACGGAGCTCGATGCGCTGGCGACGCTGGATGTCGTCACCGTGGTACTCTGTTCCACCGGTCCGCACCCAAAGTAATTGAAGAAGGGCATTGTAAAGCTCGGCAAGTACGACCTGATTCTGGAGAATGTCGAAGACAGAGAGAAGCTCCTTAAACCAGTCCTAAGCAGATTGGATATTCCTGACGCGTAATAGCCATCGTGGAAGCCGCGGCAGGAAGACAGTATTTCTCCCAACGATGTATGGTAGTCCGGAATGACCGCTGTCGCTGTCGCCGCCGCCGCCGACGCCGTCGCCGTCGCCGTCGCCGTCGCCGCAGACGCCACTGTGCCTATCTCCTCCAGCGGAAGTATCGTGTCGAAGTGTAGCCAGTGGTGCACTATTTCTCGCAGAAAGAAGCGGAAATTAGAGAAGATGTGCGCGACGACGTGACGAATGTGTCCGTGGATGAGATTGAAGCCGAATTGCAGCACCCTGAAGAAGACCGCTTTGACCCGGTGAATCGCCCCGATGATACTTGGGAACGGTACGCAGTCGTGAATTATGTCTGGCAGAAGTAGCAGGTGATGGGGCTCGCTGATAATGGCGTGGAAAATATGCGAGCCGTGGTGAAACAAGCGGTCCAAGATGCCCTCGCCGATGGCCTCCCCAACTACCAACGGCCCCAGGGTAAGCGCGGACACGAAGTTTCGCACGACGAGCAGGCCGTAATGCCATATTTTCCTGAGTTCACAGAAGAACTCGTGCACGATCGTTCCTGACACATGGAAGTGACCATGCGAAAAGGCCTCGACCTCGCAAGAATGACCGTCAAGATCGCCGAGAGTAATGACGTCCCACAGATTCCCCCCGACAAGACCGCCCGACGCAGCCGCGGCTGCGGCCGCGGCCGCGGACGCCTGACGTTTCGGCAAATTGCTCAACGCCTCGGATTTCGGAGTATTCTGCAAACAAACGTTCTTACTTTGTATCGCCGTAATATATCGCACATGATAGATCGATCATCGACCAACGTAAATCAACTGTACATGTCTAGTTTTCTCAAAGTCTCTTTTTTTATGTCGTAAATTTTTCGTCACGAGCTATCTTTACCTTTCGCAACTGTTGTAGTCTCTCAGCAATGTCCTCCTCATCGGCGAGAATCAGTGCTTGGATGAGATCGTGCATATTCCTGTACGAGAATACATCATCCTGAAAGAAGCAAGGGCTGTAGACACACTCTCTCATTTCAAATTCATTCTTTTGCTTATTCACGATGACAAATATAAATGACACATTTTAATTATTACCTCGGCATCTTCTTCGATGTCGTTGCTCGGTTCAGGCTTCTTTTGCTTCTGTCTTTCATCCTTCTGGCCGATCTCCTTTGCCTCTTCCGCGTTGACTGCTCTTCTCTCGTAGGCGGGTCTCGGGTTCGACAATTCCTCTTCCAATTCCAAAGGACTGTCGTTCAGAAAGCCTTGTGCCTCTTCCTGCCTCTTTTCCCGAATAAGTGGCTGAATCAATTGATGTGGTAATCCATCGATGTTTTTCTCAAAGGCATTAAAGGTATCCAAGGTATTCTTGGTGAAAGCCGAACTTGACGACAAAGAGACCAGAAAGACGATGGCAAATGACACGACTACATTACTCGTATTCGCCATGATGAGTTTCGATGGAAACTCGCTGACACTAGTTGCAAGAAGCTGCAACAAGCTACTTCATATACCCTCAAGACAATTATCATCGTGTCTAGATTCGGCACGAAGATCGTGATGGAATCAAACAACACCGAGATTGCGGCGATTACTGTGGCCGACATGATCGACAACCGAGATAATACGTGCTGATGCGCGTGAGATTGTTCATGATTTTATCAGGGATTCGCTTTATAATAATGGAGCACGATTCATCAACATTGGCGCAAGAGATTAACGCGACATTTTTGTGTGCGATGTTCGTACAACAATCATTAATTATTTTTCTTTACCAATATGCATATATACGTAGAGAAACTTTTGGCATACATTTTATTTCTTTAATTATATACGTATAAATGTAAGTACACTCACATCCTTCGATTTATGCGATAAAAATCCCTCCGGAAAACGAAATCAAATAAGAACAAGAAAGAAAAGCACAACCTCTCGTTAGTACACCTAGTTATTGTAATGCACGTACGGGTTCTTCTCTTATATGTTTTTTCTTGCAATGACAAACTCTGCGCGATTCTCAACCTGCACATGAAAGAACCACGTGGAATAGTCTGCATAAATCGAGGGACGAGTGTATAAATTTTCGTAGTAAATATCCACTATATATACATCTCGTTTACGCGTTAGGTGTACACGTAATAGAAATACGGAAAATAATTTCTTAGAAATGTTGTTAGGGAAATATCTCAGTCGGGAATGTGTTGTAAATAAAACTTAACTGTAACAAATAGTCAGATAAAGGAGGTATTTAACGTATAATGTCGATTTTATTTGATTATTTTCTTGAATTGGCAAAGTTTTCGGTAACTCGTAAAGAATAATCTGTAGGTACATGCGCGCACGTGCGTGTGCACATGTAAAAAGTATTATTTACTCACATTTTCATAAATTCCCTACTTGAATTATTATCGCTTACATTATTTTATAGAACAAATTTTGGTTACTAAAATACCCTAGTAGCACAATATATTGACGCAATATTGAGAACAGGAATTGAAATCGATAATTAATTTTTTTTTAGAAAAAATCATGTCATGACTTTAATTTTTATTTTTTATGTTTTAAAATTATTTCGTGACTCTCATCGAATTGCAACTTTTATTTCCTAGTCAATTGCTTTAAAGATCACACGCGAGAGTTGCTTTTGAGAGAAGAACAATCGCTCAAAAATAAATGTTATTCCTTGAGCAAAAATATTTCCCTCAAAAATAACACTCAGCCTGATTTACTGACTTATACAATATTTATTTCATGGCCGATATTGGCTTTACGTTGGACAGTATCGGTTAATGCATTTCTAATATAACCAACGTTGGACCAATGTTTAGCCAATGCACTGTGCTGCTAGGCTAATCAATAACGTAATAAATAATTATATTTATTGCAAACATTGCAAGATGAATAAAAACGTAAATTTAAAAACTTGGCGCAGAGAATTCTAATTTATGTTCATATTAGAGATAAGGATGAACTCGCGCTATTGTGCGCGTCTGCAGCGTAAAATCATAACACATAATTTCGCAATTGTTTCAGGACCGGTTCTTGTATTACGCTTTAATTATACACACGTGACATTGGTGTCGTTGTTTGTCACAGGAAAGTTTGAAAATTTTTATTACAAGTGGCAAGATGTGCAATAGATCTAAGGTAAAAATATAAAAAGATATAAATTAAACATAGGGGTGAAATGTCATTAAAGAATAGAATCATTTTATAAAAATTTTTTTATTTATTTTTATTTGTCATCTTGTCTGTTGAATACTACGTATCTCTCAAGCTTAGGGCGAGAGATACCGCGTTACTGGAAGTAGTAATTTCGTGCCGTGTCAGTGTTACAGCAGCTAGAAGATGGCCCTTGATTTTGGCAGGCAGGAATCAGGACCTTGTCAATTTTGCTAGTAAGGCCAGTCAAAAGTTTAACGGATTGTGGTGTTGGTACCTCTCTGAAATAAAAATAAATATTAATATTTGACAAAAAGGCATTTTTCCCCGGTGAATTCAATAATACCAATCTAATTATTACTTGGAAAGAATTTGTTATAGAGTGACGTTAACGATAGACTAACAAATAAATTCACAAACACAATAAAATAACAGGCTAATACCGATGGATTATATCTCTATTTACAGAAATGCGGCTCTTGTTCTTTTAAAGCTAACATGAATAAGGGAAGAAATCTTGGGATGCTTACTGGGAAATTGGTAAAGACGGTATTTGAAAATCAATATCGTATGTCCTCGAGATCGGCTCCGCGGGTGGAGATAGTGGAGTCTGGACGTTGTACGCGTAGGATTTTCCTCGAAGAGGGTCAGGCGTGATTATTTCCAAAAGCTGAGTAGGTTGAGGAGCCTGAGGTACTTCCACGGCAACTGGATATTCCGCGTACGGCTGCTCAGGGATCGGTTCAGTGGCGATCACTCGATAATTTAATTTCAGCGGACGATAGGCGCAAGGCTTATCCGGTAAGACCAATTCTGTCACAGGCTCGGCGGGTTCCTGTAAATTATTTCGCAGATTGCTGATTTGCTGAACAAAGGAAATTGCGATATCACAATGTTAAATAAAGTTCAACAATAGATATACGCATATACATATTTATAGAAAGGACAGCACGCTCGAAATATCGCACGTGATACAAACTGAAATAATTCTTGATTACATTTGATTTGATAACAAGTTGGAAGATTTATCTGTGAGGGAGTTTACCGCTGTACAATACGAAAAGATATTAACATCCTCTGTATACCTCGATTGTGACAGGCAGATAACGCGGTAGATGACACGGCTCGCCGTACGTAACTATTTTAACTCCATCATACGGCAGTGTAAAGCCGTGAGAAGACCTCGGATGAAAACAAACGATGATAATGACGAAAGATTGTAATTTTAATAGCGCCGCCATTGCCGCAGGGATTTACAAAAGTGAAACTGATTCTCGGCACCTCGCGCCCCTGATATATAATAGAAGCGCTTTCGTCCAGGACAAATCGACGAAATATTTCCTGTCTAGATGTAACCACAGATAAACTTGTAATACAACAACCAAACAATGAGTTCTCGTCATTACGTGTCTCGCAAGATTGAGTAGTCACGTACTTTCCTTGGTGCGTGTCCACGTGGGATTCCTCGTTTCCTGTGTCACGCAGATCATAAAATCGGCTTGTTTATTAGGCAAGATTATCGGGAACGAAAACGGAAGAAAGGTGAACGCTATGGTATGCTAATTTATAGTTAAATTAATACACGCGTTATGAAATTATAATTACAAAATTTTTATTGCAAGACAGTAACTGCAAAGTAACGATTCGTTACCTTATTTTGTGTAACTGTAACGCGTTACTTTTCAGAATTGGCAACTTGTAACTGTAACTAGTTACATTTTTAGCGAAAAAAAACTGTAACTGGATACTTTTATATAAAGTAACTTTCCCAACCCTGAATTTTATGTCGGAATATGTTAAAATAGTAAACGAAATCGCGCTCTTTTGTACATTATTATATCGCTTTTGCGTGGACAGCCTTATCTTAATAATTTTATGTATGGAAAATGAGAAGAACTGATTTATGTTAAAGGATTGCCGATTTGGAAAAGCATTGACACCTCGAATGATCACAGAAAGCCAGAGAGATATTCATGCTGTTAGTATCAGAGTTGGGTAAGTTATCTTTTGTTTTTAACTAAGTTTAACAGCCTTGAAATTTTAGCTTAGTTAAGATACAAGTTAATCTATAATAAAATTAATTTAAGTTAATAACAAAAAGAAATTAAAAAGTTAAATTTGTTTTAGTTTTACATAAAATCTCGGAGACTCGCGGTCACGTAAATTGCGTTGATTTCACGACCAGCGTTCGGACAGTCAATCACTACACGGAGTATGGTTCCCATTTCATATGTGAACAATTTCACGCGAGTCCGAGAATCAAAACCCCATATAATGGCTGTGTTCCAAAATTCATTGCCAGCGCCGAAGATCCACAGTGCACGTAACGTGTACTGTAGATTTTTAGCGCTGGCAGTGAATTTTGGGACACAAAAACTGCCAATGTAGGCAGATGCGCAGCGTCTTGCAATGCCTTTGTTTACGGCATGGGTAACTTTAAGAAAGGTAAATTAAAAGTTCACAGTCTATAATGTAACTAAGTTAAGCTAAAATTATTTAACTAGGCACTACCTAAGCTTAGTATACATTTTATCAGTAGAATGTGTGAAAAAATGTCCAAAAGCTCTCATAAAATTTTTCGAAATACCACGTCCCACGATTACGTGATTTTCAGGGTGAATTTTGAAAGAAAATTCCGTACATTTACATCATAAATTAATATCTCCTTCGTTCGCGGTCGTTTCGTTCGATTCCTCGTTTCATTCGCCTCGTCGCCCGTAATTTATACCACATATGTAAATGAGATAAATCAGTCCGATGCGTGCGTACGCATCGTAAATTTCACATACGCGCTCGCGAAGGAAGAAGAGAAAAGAAAAGATAAGACGAAGAAGAAAGAGAAGCGCTTGAACTCGTAGAGCGTCTTTAAATAGCTACTGCACGCGAGGCCCGCGCTCTCTCGCTCTCGGAGATACATTATGTTTCCTTCACGGCGATCATCGTGCATCAGCATGTGGTGCTTCCCTTTTCCCGGCTGAAACACTTTATGACGTGCTGACGGTTGTGTTTTCGGCAGGAAGGAAGTTGAAGGGAGATTATAAATCTTTGGCGTACATTCGTAGACTATGGACGAAAACTGTTGGACCTTTAACAAGTCGCCCGGACGAGCCTTTCATTATCATAAAGATGTTGTACAATATCATAAATCTTTTCTCATCGTCGTTGTTGTTGTTGTTGCAAATAAGATTATTATTGCTAAGACTTTGCTCGGTTGCACTAATAATATTTAATATTCTAAAACAGTGATAAAAGTTATAATAATGAAAGGTTTACAAATCTTGTCCGACAATTGAAATCGGGATATAGGCGACAAAGTCAAGGTTTTCAAATTGATGGGAGAAATGCGTTGGATATATTCAAAATTGGCTATAATGATTTATTTGTCGCTTTAGTTTTCAATCAAACTTGATTCACAGAATATCAAAGTAGAAATAGAGAATTTACTTTTTGGAATTTACATCAAATTCTGTGTAATACATTTCGCTAGTATATGTACACGCGCATACAATTTAAGTAGCGTATGACAATTTGATAGATTTTAGTTTCAAGTTGCATCTCTCCTTATCCCTTTATTCAAATACACGCGTGCACACACGTATGGATCGTGGGCCACATAGATACGTGGAGATATCACTGCGAAAGAAGAAATAAGGATAATGTGGAATAATAAGTCGGCTGTTAAATTGTCGCACTGCTGCTATATATTATCTTAACAATAATAACATCACAAAGAAACAACAGAACTGAGACTAGTGTAATATTCGGATGTGTCCACGTCTTCGCGTTTCAGACGAATCCAAGATTCATCTCGATAGTCGCGAACCGTCAATGAAGCGAGTCGTTTCACGTTTCCCCGCGTTGAGATCACACGGCCCCACATGGGGGACCGAATTTCCGGGCGGCACTTTTCAACCTGGCGAATATGCCGGACGTGGAATCGTCGCTGTCGTCCTGCTCGTCGCTGCTTCCGTCGTCGTAATGGCGAACGTACACCTTTGAACCGTCGACGTCTGTCCGGGCGTCAACCACGACCTCGCCATCGTCCTCCACGACTTCTTGATTGATCACGACGCTGCCGGGAACGTAATCGGGATCTGGTGGTCCTACGGGACCGCAGTCCGGCTCGATATCGTCTTCCGCGTTGAACTCGCCGACAGAGCCTGCCGCGTAGGCCATCCCCGTAGGTTGGTTGATTGGCGCGTATCCTAGGTCTCTAAAACAAAGTATTCGCCAAGATACATAAATGCTCCGCAAGTACATAACCGGAGGAACGTGTTTAAGCTTGTTGGTTGTTCCGGTGGAAAATTTGAGTCGAGCAGCGAGACTGCGGGTTTAAACTTGACTCGTTCGTAATCGGCAAAGTGTTGCGAGAAGGGAAGAAGTAATTTTACGCCTCGACGTTTTTCGCGTCGATCTCACTGATCTCGGTAAGATTCTCCCTCCCTCGAGGAAGGTCTCGACAACTTACCCGTACGTAATAAAGTTCTCTCGCTGTACGGCGATCTCCTCCTGATTGATCCTCTCGCGCTCGATGGCCTCGAGCTCCGCCAACTTGGCTTCCTCGTGCTCGTCGTAAACACCGACGTGGTTGATGGGAGTCTGCGTCATCGGCTTCAATTCCACAACGGGTTTGTCGAGGATCTGAAGCTTCTCCTCGGGGACGTCCGGCACCTTGTTGCCGGGCCTCGACTCGGTCGGCACAGTTCTGTGACCGAACGCCAGCTTGTCTTCCGGCACGAATGCCCTCCTGTTGTGGTACACGGTGCGCGGGACGAGATTTTTGTACGCCAAGGTGACCGAGACCGGGTCCGCGGGCAATCGGGGGTACGAATAGTCTTCGAGGAACTCTAAAAGCGACAAACGTGTTCGTTTGGACCTCGTCGTTATCGTATAACTTGTTCGTTAACTCGCCGGTGGAGTTTGTAATCGTGCAACAATATTAACTCTCAAGTGTCCCGAGTGATTTAGAGAAGATGCGTACCTGTGTTATCGCCAACATTGTTAAATTCGGAGCTGTACCCGTAGCTCCCGGCGAGGCTCGCCCTGGCGTCAGCGCTGGCAGCCGCCGCACTTGCGTATCCGTAGGAGGCTGCGCCGGAATTCGCGTATCCCGCGAGATCGTATCCGGTCGAGCTCGCTCTGGAACCCGCGTACGACCTGTATCCGCCTAGCGACGTGGTCCTGCCTGCGTCCCTGGAGATGTAGTCGCTGAGCTTTCCACCGGTCGCATAGCCGAGTTCTCTCAATCCAGCCTCGTCGATCTGTCCGTTGAGCACTTGGACGCAAACCTCGTAAGGAATGGGAGGGACGCATTTGATCTTGCCAGGGTACGCCGGGGTCACTTTGGTGGTCACTTGGAACTTTCCGCTACGCTGGACATTCGGGTAGCACAGGTCGCCGATCGGTGGGAAACTGTTGGAAACGAACCGCGTTAAGTTGCCAAGTTGATCAATTCATGAAGAGAATAACACTTGAGAAGTGAGACGAGACGTACCTGGGCACAACTTTCCCTTCAACATTGGAGGACAGGAGATCCCTAACTTGCAGAGATTCGGAGGTCTTGTCGCATCCGCAATTGGAGGCAACTCTGCCCGAGGCAACAGGCCTGAATGGCGAGTAAGCTTTCCTTCCGATCAGTCCTCCGCGAAATCCGACGGAAGACGAGGAACTTGAGGAGCTTGAGGAACTGAAGCTGCCGCTACTGCTGCTGCTGCTGCTGCTGCTGCTAAACGCTCCGCTGTCGCATGGCCGTGTGGTAAAAGATGGCACGCTTTCGGTCTGCCACCCACCCATTCCCACGGACAATCTTCCAACCGCCTCACGTGCCACTGCAGCTTCGTTGATTGCTTCCGGCGACGCGTAGAACAGCGGCTTTTGCACCTTCGCCGCTTTCACCACGACCTCCCCGCAGTTGCATGCGTTGGTGCCTAAAGATCACAAGAATGAGGTAATCGATCATTTAGCTCTAGCTCTCGTGAGAGAAAATGCCAAGCGGATGAAGAGTTACTTGGAATGGAATGTGATTTGTGCGCGGAATACCGCGTCCACGTACCTGGGCCAAGATTTCCGCACGTTTGGTCATGACACGCCTGGACGACGGACGGAACCGCTGTCGCCAGGAGCAAGGCGACTCCTAGGATCAAAGAGGACCTCATATCTGTCTCGACGATAATACGCTCTTGCTTCTTCTTCTCCTCTTCTTCTTCCTGACGTTACATTTATATGGAAAGCCGCCAGGCTCTCTGGCGAGCGCGGCGATTTTGCAATCGATCAACAATGACTGTTTGAGCGACTCGGGTATGCCCGAATACTTCCTGTTGCAACGTTTACGGCGAGCATTTATTATGACTTTATTGTCACTTCCTGAATTCGCATGTTCCAATGAACGGCGTGAGAAGCCGCGTTTTATAGTTCCATGGCGTTCACTCGCGCCAGGAGATATCATAATCGCGCGTTTTGTTGTAGAGGAAGCGGATCGTTGCGTTTCCGTATTTGTGATTGACAATAAACGAAACGAAGAGCCGCGAGGATGGATTTCCATAAATGACGAAAAACAAAAGCGGCGGGTCAAGGTCAAGCGCTCGTCTCTCCCGTAGCTTCCAACACTATGCGCCCCGCTTCCCTCGGCAAACGGACACACGTATGAAAGGGAAGAGAGAAAAGAGCTTACGCTATGAAAGAAGTATTGGAAAATTTTCACGAGGGAAACGGAGAAATCACTTTGTTGTCTTTGTAAAATTAGGTGCGGTAAAATATTTTATTTTCCACAAATGTATATGATACAAAGCTAGCTTGGAAATGAAATCGATTGACCGCTAGTTGTAAACGTCGTTGGATCTCGAGAGGGCAAAACTAATATCGACACTTTGCACGTTTCTTCGACCGTCTTTAAGTTTACAGAAATATACAATGTACAACATGTCGCGTCACTACATGGCGACGTTCGAGTTAGAGGAACTTGGTTAAATAATAGTACGTATATTACGTATTAAAAGGGCGCTATACAATGAATATCATTTACACAATTTACAACGTAAATGCCAACTGCCTCCCTATAACATCAATATACAGGCAGACAAGTTGAGATGGAAAGGCTTTGTTGCTCATTTGTTGAAGAAATCTGACGCTCGTTGCCGCTGCAGAGGTAGATTGAGCAAGTTGTCGGTGAGTACGGGCCCTTGTATCCGCGCGGTAGTTTCCGACTTTTGACAAGCGGCATCCTTAACCGGCAGGATCGCGTGCAGCGCGTTGGGTGTCCTGATGCCTACGGACGGAGTCCTGGACGACCGTGTTCGCCGAGGGGACGGCGTGCTCGATATCCGGAGCTTCTGAGTCGCCAGTCTTCTTGCCGCGGGGGACATGGTACTCAGACGATCTATGGTCGACCTTGGTGACGGGCTGGAAAGTACAATTGAATGTTAAGTACACGCTGTGCCTATGCGCTAACGTTACGACAGGTGTGGAACAGATGTAAATATCGCGCTTACGTGGCTAACGATCTTCTGGCCGCTTCCAAGGCTTTGTTCTTCCGATCTCTGTGCCTCTCGCCAGCCTTCTCGGCCAACTGCAGCGCCAGCTGCTCCCTCTTCGGCGGTTCCGCTATTCTGAACGAGGGTCCCTGGCTCGTCCTCAACAACGGCGTGTCACCGCCGTCCAATCTGAAGGGCGTCCCCTCGATCTGACCCCACGTCATCAATGGACTCTCGCACTCTCCCGGCCTCGGGCTTGGCGTCGCCACGAAGCTGAAACCGTTGACGCGCGGCGTCGCGTTTCTAACGACCTCCTTCCCGTCCACGCCGATCTTGCCGTCGTTGGCTCTCGACTGCGACTTGGCCAGCTCGTCGATCGTCTCTTTGTTTTGCTGCTCGTTGAACGGGTTCGTCCGCAACCGCGTGTTCTCGTGCATTATAGTCTGCTTCCTCTTGGCCAACTCTATCTTCTCTTCCGCCGTAAGCTCGACTCCGTCAGGAATGTACATGATGTAATTCTTATTCTTGTAGGCCCAGCTGTCCACCTGCTTCGGCCTGGGATTCGACCCCTCGATGGCTGGGACGTCGCTTGGACCGGTGGGCCCGTCGATCGCGAGCCACGCCTTCGACTTCTCCTCCGCCTCGTAGAGCCAGGCGTACTTGAGCTTGCGCTTGTTCTCGGCCTCGACCATCATCTCCTCGAAGCTGGCGTTATCCTCGCTCGTGTGAGTGCTCAGGTAATCATCCAGGCCCGTTTTGCTCTCGCAGGGGCTTTTGTCCGCCTTCGACTCGACCGGCTCGGCCGACTCGGCCGTCGGCTCGGCGAGCGTCTCTCGACGAGACGACGCCTCGGGGACGCGTGGCGATTCGTCCGATTCAGTTCGGCGCAGCGGGGTCTCGAAAGTCGCCGGACTGATCGGTCTCTCGGTGACCGGTCGGCCGGAGCTGTACTTGGCGTACAGCTCTCGCATTCTTTTCATGTCGTTCTGCTCCAGAGCGTCCAGATACTGATTTTGCGCCTGCAGCTTCTCCAGATGCGGGAAGAAGTCCTTTTGTATAATGTCGCTCATTTTCTCGATATACGTGTCCTCGTCCAGGATCTTCGGTCGGGTACTCTTGCTCTTCTTAACAGTTCCGCTGGGCATCTTGAATACAGCCAGGTCCTTGATATTTTTCGCGGCCTCGAGAGCTCTGGAGCCTGGACTGTCCGTAACGGAATCTGCAGGGGTGAAATTGACGCGATGAGTTATTTGACAATTGCGACTTGACAAATAGAACGCTTCGATTTACTTACCCATCCTGACAGGCGCCGCCAGTACAGTGCACGATTGAGGTTATGTAACAGTTAGGAATTGTCGCTCGGCATCGCTCCCTGTATACGAATACTCGCGAGCGCAGGAGATATGTTCATTTCATCGCCGAACGCAACCTCGTTCCCTTCGTGGCAAGGATATTTTCTGCGGTACTCGCGAGATTATTTATCCCCCGCGCCGTGTACTTGTGTACATACATACACTCGCAACACCAGGCATGTGACCGAAGCTGTAATCGCCCGAATATCGCGGTGACGTCAGATGCGGCGTAGAATGTTATTACCGACGGACGGTACTCGTCACTCGCGCGTCACGCGGCGCCGTCTGGCGCCAACGAGCCGACTCGCGGAGCGAATTGGGAGATCGACAGCCGGAAAACTTGGAGGTGCAACCGATGCGAAAAACCTGGCCGAATCGCGCAACACGGTGCAACGTGACGCAAGCTTGTTTTCGGGAGAGTTTTACGTTTTCGTTGGCACAATAATCTGACCGGACGATGTACGAGTTCGGCGGAGTCGATTCGGCTCGAGCCGGAAATGAGGCGGAATTGGAAATCGAGCCTGCGGCAGGGGCAAACGTTACGGCCCTGGATCCCTGGCCGCGCTAGTCCGACTGGTCTGACTGGTCGGCGGTGATATTTTGGTCCAGCTGGGACAGTGGGACGGGACGCGAGAGATATCGCTCGCAAAGTGATCCGAGCCCCGAGGTGTTGGGGAGTCACGTTGACAGACATATGAGGATTCCAGCGGCGAGATAGGATATACGCGCCGACTACGAACTCGAGAGAACCGCCAAATTGCGCGCCTCACCTACTTCCCGTTTCCTTCTCTCTCGCGCAAAACAATGCCCGAACCGGCGACAACTCGTTAACCCGAGTAGAAGAACCGTACAGGTCGCGACTAGCTGCTTTGCTGTCGCAGCGCGGTCGCAGCTTATAGTGTCGCAAACTCGACACACATGGTTCTATGAATATTCTGCCGGAGTGCAAATATTCTCAAGTTCAGAATATTTAAATTATTTACAATTAAAAATCGTATATTCATAACAAAGAAGAACGCTATTCGTCGAGAATGTCTTTGGGATATTTGCTCAGAATAATTTTTTTTATTCATCGAGTTTACATATTGCATATTGTTTATTGTGTGATACACGTAATATCGTAAATGGTATATGTTGATTTTGAATTGGCTTATGACAAGATACAGAATATTCTACAAGTCTCTAGATAGCACACGTAGTTCTATGAATATTCTTCTAGAGTGCAAATATTCTTAATTTCAGAATATTCCAATCGAATATTCTATAAATATGTATAGATTATTACAATTAGAAATCGTATATTCATATCAAAGAAGACTGTTTTTAGAATATTCGTCGAGAATGTCTTTGGAATATTCGTTCAGAATAATTTTTTAATATTCATCGAGTTTATGTATTGCACATTGTTTATTGTGTAATACACGTAATATCGTAAATGGTATATGTTGATTTTGAATTGGCTTAAACAAGATACAAAACATTCTACAAGTCTCTTTCCAGATAGCACACAGTTCTATGAATATTCTTCTAGAGTGCAAATATTCTTAATTTCAGAATATTCCAATTGAATATTCTATAAATATGTATAGATTATTACAATTAGAAATCGTATATTCATATCAAAGAAGACTGTTTTTAGAATATTCGTTAAGAATAATTTTTTAATATTCATCGAGTTTATGTATTGCACATTGTTCATTGTGTAATAGACTAATGTGTAATACACGTAATATCGTAAATGGTATATGTTGATTTTGAATTGGCTTAAACAAGATACGAAACATTCTACAAGTCTCTTTCCAGATAGCACACAGTTCTATGAATATTCTTCTAGAGTGCAAATATTCTTAATTTCAGAATATTCCAATCGAATATTCTATAAATATGTATAGATTATTACAATTAGAAATCGTATATTCATATCAAAGAAGACTGTTTTTAGAATATTCGTCGAGAATGTCTTTGGAATATTCGTTCAGAATAATTTTTTAATATTCATCGAGTTTATGTATTGCACATTGTTCATTGTGTAATAGACTAATGTGTAATACACGTAATATCGTAAATGGTATATGTTGATTTTGAATTGGCTTAGACAAGATACAAAACATTCTACAAGTCTCTTTCCAGATAGCACACAGTTCTATGAATATTCTTCTAGAGTGCAAATATTCTTAATTTCAGAATATTCCGATTGAATATTGTATAAATATGTATAGATTATTACAATTAGAAATCGTATATCCATATCAAAGAAGACTGTTTTTAGAATATTCGTCGAGAATGTCTTTGGAATATTCGTTCAGAATAATTTTTTAATATTCATCGAGTTTATGTATTGCACATTGTTCATTGTGTAATAGACTAATGTGTAATACACGTAATATCGTAAATGGTATATGTTGATTTTGAATTGGCTTAAAGAAGATACGAAACATTCTACAAGTCTCTTTCCAGATAGCACACAGTTCTATGAATATTCTTCTAGAGTGCAAATATTCTTAATTTCAGAATATTCCAATCGAATATTCTATAAATATGTATAGATCATTACAATTAGAAATTGTATATTCATATCAAAGAAGAACGTTTTTAGAATATTCATCGAGAATGTCTTTGGAATATTCGTTCAGAATAATTTTTTAATATTCATCGAGTTTATGTATTGCACATTGTTTATTGTGTAATACACGTAATATCGTAAATAGTATATGTTGATTTTGAATTGGCTTAAACAAGATACAAAACATTCTACAAGTCTCTTTCCAGATAGCACACAGTTCTATAAATATTCTTCTAGAGTGCAATTATTCTCAACTTCAGAATATTCCAATCGAATATTCTATAAATGTATATAGATTATTACAATTAGAAATTCGTATATTCATAACAAAGAACATTTTTTTTAAATATTCATCGAGAATGTCTGGAATATTCGTTCAGAATAATTTTTTAATATTCACCGAGCTCAAGTATGTATTGCACATTGTTTATTGTGTAATACACTGATCTTTCGCAAAAGGCAGTGAAACCAGTGTATATTCGATAGATTATTCACATTCGAACAAAATTTATAGTAGTGCCAGTCGAATGTTCCACGAGCACAAGATAAATATATAAGAATGATCTATGAATATTCCAAATATTCTTGAAGAATATTCTTCAGCGACCACATTCTCAGTTGCTAAAAATTCTTGTATAACTTTTTGTCAGGTTGTTACTGTTGGAGCGCAATGGGAGTCTATTAATATTTGCCGCTGCGAAACAATGCATTCAACTCGCCGTCATTTGTAGCAAGAGTTGATACGAGACAAAATCGAGAAAGAGCCTCCATCTTGATGGATTGTAATCGCCGCCGTGCGATCTCGCTACACCCACGTTTCTTCTCCGATGGAATTTCTGCAAGTTACGTGACTTTCACAAAATGTAGTGGAAAATAAAATGGTGGAAATCTCACGCTCGAGAGGCGCACGAAATAAGACAGGATAAATAAATATAAACCAAAGTACCAAGGTATATGCTCGCGCGCGCGGTACCTTACTTGGAACCAGATGCACGAAAAAGGAACAAGACGGACGTGTCTATCGACGAGAGAATGAAAACTGTCCAAGCAAGCGAAGCTTGCGCGAAGACAGACGCGGACCGTGACCGTGGGTGCACAGGGGCCTCTACGTTACTTGCCCGTAAACGACGTAAATAATAAAAATGCAGGGGAACAAATCCCCTACGACCCACGACCTACACGTTAGAATAACGTTAAAAGGATCTCTCGCCGGAATGTCCAATTTCTCTCGCAAACTCGAATAACTTGTGCGCAAAGCGCAAAGGGAACGGGGGCGAAGCGGTGACACGGGATACGGGGACGAGAGTACGAGAGAGCGGTTGCAGACGTGAAGCGTAAACAGTCGAGGTGCGATTTGACGTGCACTCCGGCGTGCGGGACGCCGGGTCGTCGGGACGCGAGAGCCTTCCGCTTTAAGAATCCGCCCCGTGCGGAGGAAGATGGCTGGAATCTGTAAATCTGTCATTGCGCTCGTATTCGTGCGCGGGATATGAACTTCTTGATCGTCGCATCCGCGCCGCTTCGCGACGCGACGCAAGGCGCAACGCGTTTACTGGGATCTCGAATCTAGGCGGTTTGCTTCGCCGAAGGAGGAGGGGGATCCAGTTTTCTTTAGAGCTCTCTCTCTCTCGAAAGTAACACATGTTGGCGCGTCCAAAGCGGTACCGATTACGATACCAGATCGCGCGAGAGATACCGATAAAAGATTAGAGCGCGACTCTTCCTCAATTTCTCTGCTTCTCGGAAGGTTGCACTTTTCGTGAATCGAGCCTCGAGGAGCATTGCGATAACATATACAAAAGCGCCTCTTCGAATAAAGTACCCTTTCTTCTTTTTTTTTCTCCGAGAAGAGAAACGCTTCTTTCGCGATAGGGCTTTTTAAGGGCTTCTGTTCGCTCTATATACATACGTAGATGTATATATAGCTCCACTACGTTACTCGAGAGCTTCTTCGAAAATTCAGAAAGCGTTTCGCCGCGCTGACGGCGTGGAAACTATAAAAGCTCTGCCACCGTGCGCGCACGAATCGTACGATCCGTGGTTTGGTACGCGGCGATGACGGATTCATGGTCCGTCCACATATCCTCCTGGATGTGTGGATACGTGGATATGTGGATACACGCCCTCTCTTTCCTCTCCATCTACCGAACGATTCATTTGTCGGTCTTTGATCCACGACCAACGAGCCACCGCCGGAAAATTAGAGAGATTTATTGAGCTCCTTCGCTTCGCGCGTCCCTCGTTATATCCGTTATACTCGCTGTTTCATATTCGATATCGATAAATGATATTGAGGGATAAAGGATTGATTGTTTTAAGGATTTTTAAGGAATCGAACTGTCCGATTTAGAATAGGCATCGTTCGCGCTAATGAAATATTTCTTTCTCTTCAGTCAGGTGACGCAACGACGGGCGTGTCAACGTGGCGGCGAAGAAGAGACAAGTAATTTATTTAGAAATTAAAGTCGTGAGCGTTGATTCGGCGGCTGAGACTGGGCTGGCTGGAAAGACTCGGACGAGACGAGAGCCGGGAGGGTGAGTGATTCCAGACGCTTCCCTGAAAGTCACTGGTTACGCCCCCGCGATAAAGAGGGTTTGTAAGGGCTAATAAATGTAAAAGGAATCCGCGTACACACACGTCTTTCCAAAATATGACTATTGTCTGCATGTATACATGTATTTGCCGACGCTTACGCTACGCAGCGTGTTTTGTAATTGGATAAAATTGTACTCGCGGCTCTCCAGCAGCTGACATGGCGATTAATTTCTCTGTAAGGTGCAATTAACAGACTGACGAGTGTGTCTTTCTTTTCTGCTCTTTTTCAGCAACGTCGGCGGTAAAAATTTCGCGTGACGTTAATCTGGGGGAGGAGGAGGAGGAGGAGGAGCAGGTCGTCGTCTTTGAGATTCGCAAGCTCAGAATCTCAGAAGGGGTGTCGCTCATGGTGGCACGTAGGGTCGGTTGACCTCTCGAGGATTAACTCCGGTTAGCCGCAACACCTACGGCGAAGATGAAAGAATACGGAATATGAAGAAGAAGGGAGGCGTCTTTTTACTGCCGGCGCCGTCACGCGCCGTCGATAAGCGCGGCTTCTCTGTGGTGAGACCAGTGGAGTCTCGCACCGCCTTATATCACTCTTAGGGTTAAGGTGTCAAAAGTACACGACGAGACCCCCCTCGTCGTGGCACACGCTGTGCTTTTTTTCTCCTAGGCCCGTGCTAAAGTCATTTCACACAATCGGTTAAAAGCTCTCCGTGGCCAAGCTTTATCATGCAGGTATGCAGTCGGAATAGCGGGATCACACGAGCACAAGCGAGGGCCTGCCTCTTCTATCACCTTTTTCTCCTTTAAAGCCAAAGGCTTTAGGAGCGAGGACACTTTTGAAAATGCAGACGAGTGCAAAACGTTTAGCTGGACCGGGGGAGCGTAGCCGCCGACGATCATTAAGCATACGCTTGTAATATGTTTACACAGCGTTGTTCCTCGCGCAGCCATCAATCACGGCGAACGTCGAGTCGGGTCTCGTCCGTCGCCCGGTCGCCGCCGTTCCACGGAGACTTGAGACGCTCGTTTCCGACGGTCGCCATGTCAAACCGCATAATTGTCGATATCGCTCCTAGCTTTAACTACCAATTTGACTAGGCAATCGCTTGGTGTGCGAGACTGGCGTGGTATAAAAAAAGTTCTAGTGTTAACGAATCGAAGAAAACGGAGAGGCGTCCGCTCTCCGAGGTAAATTGCTAACTAATTGGACTAATTCTTAGGAGAGAAAGAGTGGTGGGAGAAGTTCGGTCGAGAGGGGAGAAATAAATTATGCGTTTGCGTTACTCGACTGTTTATTCCTCGTTTGGCTCGTTTGGCCGTAAAACGTCCCTCTCCATTGGTATCGCACGCTGAACGAGGACTCTTAAAAAGTCGAAGGCACAATGGTACGATACCCGCGGGTGGCATAATTTATTAAGGCACTTAGTAACCACGTTACTCTCACCAAGTGTCACGGCGCGTTTACTTTCCCGTCTTGGCTCGAGAACGTTTTAGGCTCGTTCGGCATTTGAGACACCCAGTATAAATAGACGCACTTTGCTCCTACAAAAGGCACTCACTTCCCTCGCCCTCTTCCGCAACTTCGCCAGCGTCGATCGGCCGAATCGTTTCTTACGTGCAAATCCGAAAAAATCTTATTACGCGGATAGAAATTGGACGTTTCGGTTGCTTTTGTTGATAAATTTTAGTATACCACGTGGTGCGTCAGCATTTTGTAAAAGTATGTCGGTATACTTTTAATGACACGCGCGTATCGCCTAGCTAATTATTACTTTCGTTCATATATATACATATAAAAAATAGACTATATTGTATGTAATATAATACGTGAATCACGAGCGATAGAGAATTGGCACAATCTTTGGTACAGTAACGCGAGACTACGCATATGATTTATCGATTACTACGTCTTATTCTCATTGTCAGATAAATAAGCTTAGGTCGAGAAGTTGCGTTACGCATAAATATAGATGAGTAAAAATGTCGATCCTCCAATCGACTGATAGTTTCACGCGAGCCCATCTCTTTCTCGACCGTCGACAGAGAGAAAGTCGAGAGGCCGCGCACGATCGAACGCGTCTCACAAAGGCAACAATGAAGTTCGTAAAGCCCGTATCGGACTACGGATTGAGATTAGATCGAAATTGGACCAATTACGAGTCTTCTTCCTCTTAAATTAGGCTTGAAGCCTGTTTTTCAATTAGAGTAAAAGCTTACTAAACTTGAGATTGGTAAACTTTACCGCGACTGGTCAAATTTCAGTCTAATCCCAATCTCGGTCCGTAGTCTGATACGGGCTTTGCGATAACGAACATCGAGATGTTCGATTCTCGCGAGAGAAGATACCGCGCGACCGATGAAAGTACCAAGGCAGAATGTCCGAGCTGCACTCCCACTTCCGAGATGTATGAGATATCGTCGGCCGATGACGATCCGCACGATGAGAAATGAGAAGTGAGCAAACGGGGTCGGTTATCGCGGCCCGTAGAGGGACGCGCTCGAATGTGGATGTTGCGGGTGGGTCGCATAATGGACCGGCGACTGGCCGTGATGGCTCGGATAATGATGCGTCCAGTGGCTCGCTGCACCCGTCGCGCCGTAAAACTGATGGTGCTCCTGAGACGCGGCGCCTGCGACGGGTACACCCGGGATCTGTATCGGTGCCGGCATCGCGTTGTACCCGGACGACAGACTCGCGGCCGCCGTGGCCCCCGGGGTGGCCCCCGTATTCCCCGTGGCCGGCCTCTTGGCTGGATTCGCCATCCCGCCGACGGCCGCCACGCCGTCGCACTCGTCCGACTCGCAGTCCCGGAAGCCCTTGGCGAACGGGTTGCTGGCGATCTTGAGCTGCGTTATCCGATGATTCTGGTACGCGGTCACCGCGGTGAACCTGGTCTCCGGGAAGGAAAACGTCTTGAAGTTCTCCGTGCGGGGATCCGGCGCCGAGCCCGGCGGCGAGGGGGCGACCACCACGTGGCAGCGTGGCTGATAACGGTGCATCGAGTTGAGAATAATCTGCAACGCGAAAGCATCAAGGGTAACGAGGGAAAGCACTTTCTTTCTCCTTACGAATTCATCTCCCTCTTGGGCTGCGTTCAGAAACGTCACCCGAGTGCCACAGTGTATCATCCCATACAGCACGCATGTCTAAAAGACATCTTTAAGACGTCTTTTAGATATGTATGTCTAAGACGTGCTGTATGGGATTTTATCCCTGTTTAACATACGGCGAGCAACAAAGATAAAGTGATACACTGGGGTGCTTGGATGACGTTTCTGAACGCAGCCTTGGCTGGAAGGTTCATCTCCCTCTGCCAGGTATCAAACGAGACCTGTGAGAAAATTAAAACTTCTTCTTTCTTTTTTTAGTTTCTCAAAAGTACAAAAGCCTCAAGTCTGGTGGTGCGTAACGACACAAATATTGTGACAAACGTGGGACGACAAACGCTTTCACGCAGCGCGATCGATGATGTGTACAATTTGGTACAAGTTGCCTTCGTACGAGCAACTAACCGAGAGGAAAAAAAGAAGATATATACAAGGGAAAAAGAAGAGGAGGACTAGGGACACGTGAAGCTCGTATTCGATGGAAGGAAGGAGCGCCACAGGGGGGCGGTCGCAATGTTTGACAGCCACGAGAGACTCGGTGACTAATTAGCGTAAAAACTAACCCCCGGCCCGCAATCCGACACCCTCGTCCTTCTCCTCGCGCACTCACGCGCATATGCTTCGTGAGTGGCGTGTGTGGTGGTAGATCCAACACGCGGAATATCCAACACGTATGCAATGTGCATTACACGGGAGGGAAAAGCGTGTGTGGCCCCCGAAAATTGGGACGCCGTGGTAGGTTCTCGCGGGCCAGCTATTCATTCACAATTTTCTCTAACGTTACCTAATGCAATTGCAAATCGGATCTAGGCCACGCTCCGCAGGAAGTGCGGATGTTCGTTGCGTTAATTCATCCGGAAGTACCTTACAATTTAGTTAACTGACTAGCTTTTACTTTCCCTCGGTCAATCTCACAAAATTGTAAGAGATTTTACTATTTCTCGCAAGTCTCTCGGGAAGATGCGCGCCTCGACTTGTCGAGGATGAAATCTAGAATAAAATTGAATGCGCGATAGTCGCGTCGGGGCGAGCATTTCTGACATTCTGACCCGCCCACAGCGAGTTTTTACGATTTTTTTACGCGGCCTGGTGCCCGGATTTTTCGGTGCGCAATTAAAGGAACAAACTGCTCTGTGTATGGAGAAAAAGAACGACCTCTCGCCACGGGTCAGAGGTCCTCTCCCGCGAAAGAAGAGCGATACATTCTTGGGAGAAACGCGAGCGGAGACTCGGAACTTTCCTCCCTCTCTCATGTCCCGTCGCACGTCCCAAGGATGTTTCAAGTGTCAAAAAATAAATCACGCCTCGAGAATACACGTCGGCCTTTACGATTGCATAAATTTGAAACACGATAAAGATTACGTTTGAATATGTCTACGTGGCAGAGTGTAAAGAATATCGCTAACACAGCACGAGTAAATCTTCCTACCGTCATAATTTCTACAGGCCTATACGCTTTCGACCGAAAGAAAAACATCCGCTCGAGAATTAAGCCAACTTGTACCGTTGCTGTACTCTACGTGGAAATGTCGCGAACGTGAGCGTTAATGCTGTCCGATTTCCGTGTTTTGGAAAGACTTGACCATCCGACTTCCCTTTTGAATTGCATTCAACACGCACGCTCGCGCCGTGGCGTCGGCGCGTTTCGTTCGTCGCGACGCGAAGAGTTTGTTTCGCGATCGTGTTTGCGCCCAGCTTGATGGATTTGGCACCAACGTGGTCGCGAGAAATTATTTTGGGCTCCGTAGACTTTGCCGCAGGTACATGGCGCCGCGCTATCACCGCTACGCGATCGAACAGATCGAAGCGCACTCGACCTTTCGACCTCTCGCGAGCGGCCCAGGGTCTAGATTCTGGATCGGTCGACTCGTGACAGACTTACCGCGGCTCATAGCGAATTCGGTTGCTTGCGCTGGTGCACGCTAAGGCTTGCTTACAGTCAATTCTTATATTTAAGGATCGTCTGAAATATTTTCTCAGCCAGTGAAATGATCTATGTAGCATCCGTACGGATCGTTTTTTGGCTAAATACTCTTTGAACATGTACTTGAGACAAAGTTAAATATAAAAGTTGACTATAAACAGGCCTCAGTGTGCGCTCGGTGCGCACTAGTGCAAGCAATCGAATTCGCTATTACTCCATATTCTATATTCTCCGACCTGTTTTTATCCTTTGTACAGACTACAGATCAAGAAAATCCTTGGAAAGACATGGAGAAGGCTCGATCAAACGATTGTCAATGTCGGCAAAAAGCAGCGTTGATTAGAGAAAGAACGATGAGTTTGACATTTTTATCGGTACGAAAATATTGCATTCTATAATTTCAATTTATATCTGAAATAACTCATTAGAACGGGAATATCATTGATTGCAACGCTTGTTTCAACCTTCGTAGGTATTCGTTATTACGCCTCGTAAGCGCTGCACTCCTGCGAAAGGTTTCGCAATCGACTCCGAATCACGATCGACGTCACACGATGTCAGAATAAGCAGATATGCTGACCGGTGCTAATTCTTTCTCGCTATAATGCTCGTTACAAAGTACGCTCTCTTTCCCAGAGCCCGTAGATCGCGCCCAGTTTACGTTACATTTGTTTACGTTACTTTACACACACGACACTCGTCTATCCGCGGCGAAAGGAAGCTGCGCGAGAATAATACGTCGCAGACAGAATATCTCGAGCTATACGAATAGTTGGTCTCTCGCACAGTTATTACAATCCATCTCCCAATTCTCTCGAGTTTGTAGGCGACGTAAAACTTGGAGCTTGCGAAATATCGTGGAAGAGAGTTAATCTCGTTGCTTCTTGTCTAACTCTATAAGAAAACGAAATACGTACACAAATTAATATGGAAAGCTAGACGAGGGTCTAGTGTCTTTAAAGAGTGCAGGTTTTTTTTATTGATTTCTTTTAGCAGAACTGCCCTAGCGGAAAAATTTCTATAAACAACTACAAAAATTGACTTGAAATAGAAATTTGTAGGAATTTTTATATCTTCGTTAGAGCATTAATTTTTTTTGTACAAATCTCTACGAAATAGTACGACAAATTACAGTGTTTTCCAATCCAGAAATTATTGCAAGTAGTATTTCATGAAAATGTATAATTTTGTTAGCACAAAACTTTACTAGTTTAAAAAATTTGAGAACCAACAAAATCTCGAAGAATTGAAACATCTGCTTACTTGTAGAATGTTACAAGAATTAACAAAAGTGTTCCAATTTTAGCAAGTTCAAACTGTGCTAGTTTTAAACATCTGAGAAACAACAAAATCTTAAAGAATTAAAACGTCTGCTTACTTGTAGAATGTTACAAAAATTAACAAAAGTGTTTCAATTCTAGCATTTTTATGTTGATTTTTCTAACACTTTTTAAATTTACGTAGCATTTCTTAGATTCTGGTAATTATATTTTATAGTTTTGTGGGTGGAGTTTCATTAGAACGCAACACATTTGAAATCGTCTTTAGCAGCCGTCGTAATTATTCGATCGTATCGCTAATTATTTTAAGACAGACGAATTGACACGCGGTGAGTGTTCCTCGGTGAGATACGCGACGTTAATTTACGTCAGGCCGGCGTCTTCTAAAATCTAAACGGTGGACAATCCTCATGGAAATATCACGCCACGTCGCGTCGCGTCGCGTCGTTTCTCTCCGTAATGTCGCGTAAGCGACAGGCTCGTATCTCAGGTCAATTAAGACGAACTCGTCCGTAAACGACAAACACGTGGAAACCTTCGCATCTTTCAACCTATTTTATTATGTAAAAAGTCGAGCGAGGAGGACAACGTCAGTGGCGAAAATTGATCCGTTGTTTTGTTCAAGCTGACGTAAATTTCCCCAGGAGGATTTGATTCGTTTGAAACACTTAACTTTTCGTCGACAAAGGCGGTATCAGTTTGACTGCAAGATTTCAAATACGTCCCGATGGAAAATAAGAGGTAACGAATTGAGTCGCAAGGAATATACAGATGCTGCACAGGATCATCGAGACACGTGTGCCGAAGGTCGGTATAAAACGCTTTCGCGAATAACTGGGCAAAAAGTCGACGAAACGTCAACTCACGTGTCCGTTGTCGTCAAGCTGGTTGTTGGTCAGTTTCAGCTTGTCGAAGGAAATCGGCTGCTTCATCCAGTGGGCACCGCTCGCAGGGCTGTCAGGATGCACGTGTATCCTGGGAGGTGACACGGGATCGGCGCGACCCGCCACGACCCAGGCGCTGCTGTGGAAAGCGTATCGGTACCTCTTGTCGTCGCACGGGACGAAGTCCATCACCATCAGGTACTCCGTGCTGGGGTCCAGGCCGAAGAGTCGACACTGCCGATCACCAAAACCATTCCGCGTGTCATCGGCGCCATCGCCCCGGCGTATTTGTCACGATGTGGTATCCTCACCTGAAACGTGGGGAACATTCGTCGTCCGGCCTTCGTGACGATCATCTCGGTGCCCAGCTGGTGGAACTCCTCCCAGAGCGGCTTCGCTTCCAGAGCGACGCCGGCGCCGAGCAGCGCCGGGTGAAGCGGCCGCTTCGCCGCCGACTCCTCGGCGCGCTCGGAGGACCCGCCGTCCTCGCTCGGATGATGGTCACCGTGATGGCTGCTGTTGTTGTTGCTGTCGTTGCGCGACTCCACCGTGGCGGACGGGGAGATCGGAGTCGCCGCGTGAATCGGCAAAACGGCCTTTATCGGATGACTGGGGCTGCGGGGTCTCTTCACTCTTCCGGCGCTTTGCAAACAAGCTGGAAAGATCGTCACACTTGGCGATATCGACAGTTGCTGAGAAATCAGCTGGCAAGTCTTAAAAATCGCTAATCTTACGAACGTTGTATGAAAATGTTGTAATTTTAGGCGAAGAAATCAAAGTGTATCGGACCGAGACGTAAAGGGGGAGCCGAAGCGTATTCACCTTCCATTTGTTGCATCGGCGACGGCACAGCGGGCAAGTGTTGCTGGTGCTGGTGCTGATGCTGGTGCTGCTGTTGCTGCTGCTGGTGATGGTGATGATGGTGATGATGATAATGATGCGCTGACCATTGCTGGTAGCAGCAATCGATGGCGATTTCGCGTCGTTGCTCGTGTTGCGATTGCATCGTCAAGTCGACGATATCAATGTCAGTTATTTATCGTCTCGATTACCGCGACAAAGGATATGTGTTATCCACGTTACTCCGCAATCCATATCGCAAAATTTACCTCAGCTCGATCGCACGGTGTCCCTTGGATCGAGAAAACGCGCACTTTACAACGCAAGTCATCGTCGGAGGAATCGCGAGTGGGTCGCGATGACGGTTCGCATTTCCGGTATCTCGCTTCGGAGAGCGCGGGCTTTCGTCGGGAAAATTTGCCCTTTCGCCCCCTCGGTTTCCCACCCCCTCCCCCCCCCCGAGCCCGCGACTAACGTAACGAAGCGAAACGAGCGGATCTCTCTCGCGGCTCCCCATTGAAAGAAGATTCGCGGGTGATTTCAGCGGGCGTCGCGACACCGACGCCGAGACCGGCGTGCCGATGATCCCGCGATACCGAGTACCCGACGAATCCCGGCATCGTCGGCAGACGGCGGCCGCTCGCACGCGCGGCCGTCAACAGGACTTGTCCTCACCTCCGTGTCCCAACGTTGACAAGGACGCTCAAAGCCGCGCGCTTCTCGAATCCGAGATGAATCGGAAAGAACTTGCCCGAGACGACTACCCCGCCGACTACCTTATCATCGCGACATCATTCTCTCTCTCCGAATTCTCCGCGAGTGGAGAACGCGAAGCGTCCCTCTCTCTCCCTCTTGGCTCTCTTGGCTCTCTTGGCTCGGGCACCAGCCGTCCCGAGGGAGAAGGACGGAACGAGAGCGACGTAGGGAGGGACGCGGAAGGGAGGAGGGCTTCTCCGAGGACCCTCCTACACGGGCACCCACGCTGGCCACGCTGGCCACGCTGCCGACGTTGAACGGCAATGGGATGCTGCACGAATCTTCTGCCCTCTTCTACGATGCCACGGAAGGCGGAGTCAGAGAGTCTTGGCGAGCCAGAAATGTCAGGGGTAGGTGCAATGGACTCAGGAATGGGCCTGTACGCCGTGCCGCCCGAGAATAAATATTTCAATTTTATATGCACACGTACGCGTACGTGTATGCGCCTCGCGGGACGGACGGTCCGTTCCAGGGTACAATCGGGGGGAGGAGGCCCGAGACATCGGGGGAGAGAAGATTCCAGCAATTCCTTTCTTTTCACAGAGTTATTTAATAATAATCATTCTTATACACTACGTACAGAGGTGTTATAGTGCCGAATGGAATATAATTATGCTTAATATATATTTTCATTTAGATCCACACCACGCTTACTCCTGGACGTTGACAAAATTCTGCGCTCTATCAATGTATTAATGTCTAGTAATATCAATATGTACATTAGTTGGAAACGTAAGGTTTTTTTCAGTTGGTGTAAAATCTCTCTTGCTCCCCCCTCGCTCACGCAGCTCCGTCGTGAAACCTTTTGTAGACTGACAATCTTTTAGTTTTAGATCGATCATACGCACGAGAGAGAAAAGGATACTCTTCATTCATTTTCGCAATGCCGAGAGGATTCCGATCTCGACCTCGACCTCGATCTCAATCTTGGCACTTTGAACGCCACGACAAATCGGAACTTAAAATATCGTAATGTACATATAAATGAAGCGAGCGGAGGAGAATTAAAATTAATCGTACGTATTTCTGCGTAGAGTGGAGTTGCTCAGCTACGTAATTCTGGAGACCGTTCAAAATGTGTTTTCAATGTCCACGACAAAGTCTTTCGCTGGCGACGACGAACGTTAACTCCGGAAGAAGAACCGTACGATTTCTAGTGGGGAAGACTACAGAACGGCGTTTCGTCGGGTCCCCGAATGCATTTAATCCTCCGATTTAAAGGTAAAGATCGACGTGAGCTTCTCAATTCTCTCCCTTCTCGTGTAAAGGTGCCTATTAAAACTATCGCATCTCGCGTCTCACGCGCAGTTTGCGCAATCCTCGCGGAATCCGACCTGACTAATCCGCTGTTACAATTAGATCACTCGCGTCGCAAAGCGCTCCGACTTGTCCCGCGTGCGACACCGCTGGCGTCTCGTTTCGCAACTCGCGACATTTTTTACTCGACGCCTCGGTAAGAAACAAAATTTCGCCCGCGCAGGAAACGCGGTACTTTTGACATACCCGGCCTCGCTGCGGCGCGTGCTGATTCTCCACCTCGCTCGGCATACGACGATAAATACAATATTTACACACAATTGTTAATATAATATAACACTTACGCGAGAATGATTATTGACAAGTAGAATGAGTCTATACAATCGTTAATAGTTTAAAAAAGTTAAAACAGTCGAAAATCCTTGGCCGGCTCGTTATGATTTTATTTTTGGCTTGACTTACGATCTGCACCCATGATACAATCACACCTCGCGTGAAATGAAGAGTTACAATCGATGTATACTTTCATACATGCTTCGAATATCGATGGAAAGTTGAAGACAACTCGCACATGTATCGCACGTGTAATTAGATTCGCTTAATTACGGCCCCTATACTCTTTCCCTCCCGCTACCTCGCTCCAGAGTACAATCCATTTTGTTAAGTACTATGCAACTAGATTAGACACTTTACTTGCTGATCAATGGTCTGAACGACGTTTATCGTACTTGAATCGAACCCCCTGGAATTACAAACGGTAACGAAAGTACTTCGCACGGAGCCCAACAAGACGAGACAACGATTGGTGTTATCGGTTTAGCCCTTGTACATTCACGTCTCTCCCCGAATGTGACGCACAGGCGAAGTTACATCTGCCCCGGAGCCGCGCTCCAAGCTGTACAGCTATAGACGTATCCTCGACAAGACGCGGCAGATGTAAAGAATAAGTCACGAGCGTATGCGCATTATATAGATAAGGTAGTACCTGTGTTATGCGTTCGATGTGCGACATGAGATGTTGATGGTGGACAAGATCGAGAGTGACACATGCAAACGTTACTCGCGCCTCCAAAAGAGAGGGCGGATCCTGGACAGAGTAAAACTCGCGACTCGCTTATTCGAGATCGCGCCGTGTCGGGATGGTGGATGTGATCGACTGAAGAAATATGATGGGTGTTTTTATGTGAATTTTATTTATAAAAAAGAAATTAATGTACAAGTGTGAAGAAAAGAAGTTGAACATGATCGGTCTCAAGATCCCGTAAGAAGATCCTCGCGTCGTAGGTAGTTTCTCATAGCTATCGAATTATTAGCTTCTCTATTATCAAGGATGAATCTGTGTACTGGCTAACGGAATCGCCGAGGGTGGGACGAACAAATTAAACGTGGTAGGGGGGAGCGTAGCGTTATGGGGGTATGGACGTATGGAGGAGGTGGAGGAAGATGATGCTAACAATAGTAATGATTCGTCCTAGTAATGATAACAGGACCGTCTCGATCTCGATCGGGAGATGAAACATCCCCCCCCGACCGAAAGCAAAGGGGCTTCCTCCTTTTCGTATTACTTGGAAAAGGCGAATCGCCTATTATCAGTGATATCAACGACATCAATCATTATACGATGCGCGTTCGCGTGCTCATTTACACCACATGATTATTATCTTCCCACGTTTATATACGGACATTTATGTAGCATCGTTGAAATGAATCCAGAGAAGCCTTGCCACCATAATAACCGCGATACAAATACTCTCGTTCACCGCAGGACAATATATAACGTGTATATTAGCAATTCGTTAACGCTTCGACACTTGCTCTTGAAACGAATCTTGTCTCTCTCTCTCTCTTTTCTTTGTATTTCACAATTCACACACATATAAATGTATATTTATAAAAGTAGGTATGACGTAATAGATGTCGTTTACAAATTTGTGCAACTTACACAAGTATCAAGCTATAAATATCTATTATACTTTAGGGAATTAAGTTTAAATGATCGCTAGTTTATTTGTGTATCGATATCTTTGTTAACAGCATACTTACATAATGAAGCGAGAGCACTATGTGCGTGCATGTGGGAGAATGAGTGTGCGTGTACATGCGTGTGTGTGTGTGTGTGTGTGTGGTGTTTTCGCGCGACACTATTATCGTGTCAATTTTTCTCACAGAGTAAAGTGGTGAAAAAAAGGTCACGTTTTTCTCGAGTAATCAGACATTTGCGACACCGACGAGTGTAAATGCAAATGATGAACAAGCTACAAGACGCAGATGTCACGCTCGACAAATGGAAAAAGACGAATTATAGTGAAAGTGCCTGTCCTCTAAGTTTTACTTTTCTCAATTGTTAAGAATGTCGTTGAATCGACGTAAAGTTCTCTCTAATCTTATGATCGATCGATTTTTATGGCTTTATCACTACTATTTTGTTTTATACGGTAACACATTTAGCTACGACATACGCACTATCACTTTACTACTTTTGATAAACTCTGTGAAAAGCAACGCCCCTCCGGATTTTCCGATAAATGTATTCCCGATTCTTTGTAATTATTTCCACAGGCTTCGTAGTCAATCAGAAATAATAATATAATTATAATAATAATTATTATAACTCGTATCTCTCTCTCTCTTTCTTACAAGGTCTTCCTAAGTCTCGATGGTGGGTCGACGGGCGGTAGCGGTTGTAGATCCTAAGCGTCGCATTCGAAAAGATAAATCTAAGGAGTTCACTTCTTCTTATTTTTGTTGTTCGCGCCCCGCGGTGGCGTGACAGGCCGTCCAGCATTCAGACCACCGTAAGTGAATTTCCTCTTGTCGGCCGGTTTCAAAATTTGGAAACTGCACATGAGAGTCTCGTCCACCGACATCATGGCACCTGCGTTGTCGAACTCGCCACAGTAGTTCGGAGCCGAGAACAGCGTCACCAACTGCCGTTTGGCAAAGAACTCGTAACCATCCTCCACCACCTGAAGAAGAAGAATGAGTTTTCGTCAACGAATAACCGAGGTGTCGCGAAACCGATGAAAAGATTCTCACCTGGTGCGCGCGGCATATCAGGTCGAAATCATGTTTGTGTAAAAACTTGGCAACGACTTCCGCGCCGAAAGTGAACGACACACCGCGATCGTTCTCGCCCCAGCCCATGGTGTCTTTATCGGGATCGGACCACAATAAATCGCAGAGCAATCCCTGATCAGGTACGTCCGTCGGTCGCATGATACGTCTGATCTGTTCCATACTTTGCAGATCCGGGCTCAAGCCTCCGTGGCAGCAAAATATCTTTTCGTCCACTATCGCGGCGACGGGTAGGCAATTGAAGCAATCGGTAAACGTTTTCCATAGTTTAATGTTGTAACGACGTTTACCTGAAATTAAACGCTTCATTTAACCACTGTAAAAGAAGAAGAGTAAACAGAGACATTAGCCACCCGTCGTATCTCAGATAGGATACTTACATTCATCGTAGAACCCATATATCCTATTAATGGACGCGCACTCGTGATTTCCTCTCAACAGGAAGAAATTTTCTGGATACTTGATCTTATAGGCGAGAAGGAGACAGATGGTCTCCAACGATTGTTTCCCTCTATCGACGTAGTCTCCTAGGAATAGGTAGTTGCTTTCGGGGGGAAAGCCACCGTACTCGAATAATCGCAACAAGTCATAGTATTGTCCATGAATATCACCTTGCGGAGAAAATCAACATGAGAAATGAGGCCCGCGTTACAAATTCTATAAGCTTTTCTTGGAATCCCGGGCACATTTAGTTTTGCTTACCACATATTTTCAATGGCGCTTCGAGTTCTAAGAGGATGGGCTGCGATAGAAAAATTTCACGCGACTTGAGACACAGTCCTCTAATCTCCACTTCCGTCAGCTGAACATTCTTGCCTGGTCTTGCCCCTCGTACTAAAAGAAGCATGTTTTCGCAACGGTAATAAATAATCGACGATTGTAAACATTATTAAAATGCCTTGCTAAAAAAAGGACGCTGGACTTTTAAGGGCCTGCATCCACGACGCTCCGGAACTTGGTCCAAGTTCTAGTTTCGAGAAACGTGTGGCCAATCAACTTGCATTGCTACTCCATAAAAGCTGCACGTTGATTGGCCACACGTTCCCTGGAACTAGAACTTGGACCAAGTTCTAGGCATTGTGGACACAGGCCTTCAAGCCTTGTGTCCACGATTCAAGAACTGTGTCCAGGTTCTAGTTCCAAGAAATGTGCAACCAATCAACCTATATCCTCTATGGAAAAGCTGCGAGTTGATTGGCTACGCATTTCTGTCCAAGTTCTAGTTCCAAGTTGGACACAGGCCTTTAAAA